CTCCGCCACGAGGGACCGCCGTCGGCGTCTGTCGTCGCCAGCGTCGTCCTGGAGGAGAGGGGGGGGGGCGGAGGAGGAGGGCAAGGACAAGGAAAAGCGGCCCTCTGAGAGCTCGGCGAGGGCGCCAGAGCGCCGAAGCTCAGATGCCAAAGTACCCGAACGCATTACGAACCAGAATTTGCACCACCGGCTCCACTGATACGGCCTTCTCCCTAGATTTGAACACGGGGCGGTATGCAAAGGGGGGGGTGCGGAGGGGAACGAAGAGGAGGAGGTGAAGGAGGGTTGGGTGCTCTCTCCCCCGCATCGGAAAGGGCGCGCCCCGGCCCCGACCGCCCGCGGCGCGGGCATGAGCGGGCTGGGCCGCAGGGAACGCCCGACACGGCGCTGCGAGAGAAGAGGAAGAGAAGGGAGAAAAGGAGAAGAACGCGGAGGGGGAGGAGGAGGAGGAGGAGGAGGAGGAGGAGGAGGAGGAGGAGGAAAGAGGAGGAGGAAGGAGAGGAGGAGGAGGAGGAGGAGGACGAGGAGGAGGAGGAGGAGGGGGAGGGGGAGGGGGGAGGAGGAGGACCAGAGTAAACCTAACACACATCAACAATGTTGCAATGAACCCTCACTCCAAGCTCCCTCTTCACAGGACCCTAAACAAAAAAAAATCCATTGCGGACAGTGCCCCGTTTGAAGACAACCGTCTGAGTGCCAACGCACAGTTCCGGCGACTCCAACGCTACGAATCAATTTTGATGGTTGCGTCCTGACGATCCTGGGTCGCGTGGGAACACCATTCACGGGATTATAATACCGCGGACCAACGTGATTGTTGCACCCACAAGACCGTAGGTCGCGCCAGAAGACCATTCCCGATACGTCAACCATGATGGATATCTGAAAGTGCTGGAAAGTGTTAAAACGAATGCGCGCGGCGCTACGGCGAAAACCACATGCTTACAACACACCCACGCTGCATCGGAAAGTATTGCAAATGTTTCAGGCGAACGCACGCGGCGCTAGGACGAGAGCCACACTTTGAAAACCACCCGCCCTCCATCCGTTAAACACTTGCGAACTTTTAAAACGAATGCGCGCGGCGCTGAGCCGAGAGCCGCATGTTGAAAACCGCCCACCTTCCACCCGCGAAACTTCTGACAACTTTTACAAAGAATTCGCGGCGCCAAACCGAAAGCCACATGTTGAAAACCGCCCGCCCGCCATCCGTTAAATTCTTGCAGATTTGTTTAAACGAACGCACACGGCGCTGGGCCGAGAGTCACATTTGACAACCGCCCACCCTCCATCCGCGAACTTATTAAAAACGTTTACGACGAATGCGCGGCACCAAACCGAAAGCAACATGTTCAAGACCGCGAGCCCTCCATCCGCGAAAGTGATATAAACTCTAAAAAACCGGATGCGCGCGGTGCTGATGCGAGAGCCACCTTTCGAAACCCATCCGCTCTCCATCCTTGAAAGTATTGCAAGTGTTCAAGCTCACACATGGTGGGAAATCATCAAGCGAAACGTCCGTCCCGCCCTACCAACACTTCCCAGGGCGCGACAAGGAAGAGTTATCGATCAGGAAAAGGGGAGGACGTGGGGGGAACGGAGGGGCAAGCTACAGAGGGGGGGGAAAGAAAGGGAGGGAGTGAGAAAGGGAGAGAGGGACGGAGGGACGGATTGGGGAGGGAGGAGGACGAGGAGGAGGAGGAGGAGGGGGGGGGAGGAGGAGGACGAGGAGGAGGAGGAGGAGGAGGAGGAGGAGGAGGAGGAGCAGGAGGAGGGAGGAGGAGAGAGGAGGGGGAGAACGAGGAGGAGGAAGACAAAGAGGAGAGGGGGAGGAGGAGGAGGAGGAGGAGGAGGAGGAGGAGGAGGAGGAGGAGGAGAAGAAAAAAAAAAAAAGGAGGAGGAGGAAGAGGAGCAGGAGGACGGGGCGGGGGAGGAGGGGGGAGGCACAAACTAGGTGCGCTCGCGCCATATCTGACATCCGACCCGCCCACCCATCCCGTCCCTTTCCCGTTGTGCTGATATGTTTCTTACCCGCCGACGCGTGTCATGGCGGAACTGGAACTCCAAAATAGACCCCATCGTGTTATGCGCAATCGGAAAAAAGGGTAACTGCGTAAACTCGAAAAGGTGGCAGATGAGCATGAGGATGAAGGAGGAGGACAGAGGAGGACGAGGACGAAAAGCAGCAGCAGGAGCTGGAAAAAAAGGAACGGGAGGAGCAGGAGTACCAGGAGTAGGACCAAGGGAAGGCGGAGGAGGGGCAAGGAGGTGGACAACAACGACGGGGAAGGACTTGGAACCATGAAAGTGGCCCCACGCTGGAGCGAGGCGGGAGCATCATTTTGAAACACCGAGAAGGTTCCGATCGGAACCAATCACTCAAAAGACCAGATGCTGAAATTCCGCGTGTAAAAACCACAAAGCGGATGGCCGGACAACTTTTGACAAGAGTCAGAGGAGAAGGGAGTCGCATTCATATTGAGCAACTGCGGAGGAGAGAGGGGGGGAGGAGAGGGGAAGGCTTGCGGGCACCAGCGGATGCTGGACTACCAGCGGGCGCGCAGAATACATCAGAAGATCATTCACCGCTGATGTCGGACTCAACGTCGGTCTGGGGAGATCTCTCGGCGACTGCAGGCAGGTAGTTCAATAGCTCGACCCGCGAGCCCAGATGTAGCCAGAGTGGGCCACACCAGGGCTTCGATGACCCCGAAGGCCGCTCTAAGGAAGTAGTCGACTGCATCGGCAAGCCGACCCCCCCAAGAGCTGCTTGTGGAGGCCACGCCGCGGCCTCCACGAGCGCTGCGGCCACAAAGGCCCACCATGACAGGTTGGAGCTGGAATGTCTTGATCCTCAACCTCACACTTGAGCCAAAAATCAACACAGACACCTACATTGAGAACCTGTCCCAGGCAGGCGCGGTTTCGCACTGCATTTGAATGCCTCCACGCCCCCAGGCCCTCGCAGGCGCAGGGTCGCACCGCATTCCCCGGAAAGCCGCGCGCCCTGTACACTGCCGATGGCTCCTATACCCAGCTGGTGCAAAGTACGCGGTGCAATCTATCGCGTCTTTAAGGGTTCGTACGCTGTCCCTGCCGCGCGGCCGACGGCGTCGCAGACCGTCTGACCCCGTGGCCCCTTTTTGTCGCGCCCTACTTACTTCGGCGGATGGACGCCCACACGCCCCGAATTGCAATCGACGCAAGCCGTGGGGACCTCCAACCCCATTTGGCACGTCTGATTGGAGCTACAGAGTGCCCTGTGAACGCCGCCGCGAACATGGCCAGGATGCGCCAAATGCGTCGCGAATTACGGCCCTTAGGTGCCACGAAATCTCAGCGTACACACGCACACAAACACACACACACACACACACACACACACACACACACACACACACACACACACACACACTCACACACGCTCGGGAGTCGCGGCGGGCGGCCGCGACCTTTCGCGATCGCGCCAGCGCAGTCCGGCGCGGCGTGGAGGCACGCATTGCACCACTACGCGCCGATCCAAGAACCCAAACCAAACTTGACATGGACAACTTCGCTCCTAAGCCATGGTTCACAAGCCGAAGTGCCAGCGGATCCCCACGGCATGCTGGACCCCGCCGCCCCTGGCGAGCCTGCCCACACTTTGGTCGGCAGAGCCGACGAACTGCTTCTCGAACAGCCCGCGCGCCATCCTGGAACGGACGGGATTCACCTTCGCGGACAACGCGGGAGCCCGCACCCAGCCCCTCTGCCACGCGGTCCGCCGCGGCACTGCCCCCGAGTAGCGTCGACCGCGCTCGAACCCCCATGCTCTTGAGCGCGGCCGCAGCGGCGGCGCCAATGTTCTCGCTGACGGCCAGCACGTCCACCTCCACTTCCGCCGCGCCAGCCGACCAAGCAGCCAGAGAGGTACACCGAAACGCCCGTCTGGGCGCCGGCGCTCTCGAAGCTTGCGTCGACCTTCGTCTCCAACTGAGGCGGTTCATCCATGACGATATCCTGCGAAACGCGGCATTCCAAACCCACGCGCGTCGGCCCAGCGAGGTAGCGAAAAACTTTTTCGCCGAACAGCAAGGTCGGCACGGGGGGGCTCGCAGCTAGACCCGCGACGCGCGACGCCGCACATGGCAAGCCAGAACAGCCCAACGGGCATGCGGTGCGCGAGCCCGACATCACTCAGCGCTGGTTCCCCCTTGCCCGAATCCCCCCCCGGCCAACTCGCCATGACATTCCGTCCAGGTTGAGGGGGCCAGCCCCGCTCGCCTTTTCCATCCACCACTTATCCAGCAGCACCTGGGCGTAAAATTGCTGGGGCAGCACGATGATGGAGTCAATATTGACGCCACTGTCAATAAAAAGTAACGCACAAGCCCCCAGCGATCCAGGGCAAGCTCGGGGCTGGGACGACGTCCTCCAGAGCCCTGCGAAAGCCGACCGCGTCGCCAGCACCAACGACGAGAGACCTAAGCCGAGGAAGTCATCCACGCACGCGAAGACGCATCCGAACACGTCGCCCGCAATCCACGATTCTCCGCGCTGCCCCGTCCGCGATGCGCCGCACGCCCTGCGCGCCCTCGACGATCACGCCCTTCACGTCCGAGTCTCGCTTCGTAGCCCACGCCCCGGGGGAAACGCGCAGGCCGCGCGCGGCCAGAGTCGCCATCCAGACACCCCCAGGGCGGACGAGGCCACACCGCACCATCACGGCAGGAAGGCACCCCAACACCTCCCCGCGATCAAAGGGCACGCATGGGGTTGAGGGCAGCATTCGGAACATCCATCGCACCGATACCCCAGCGCCTGGCGGAAGCCACCGCCAAGGCTCCGCGGGGGCTGTAAACCTCGAAATTCGATGTGTACACCCGCTGTACCTTTCCGCGCTGCTCGAAGTTGCCGCAGACCACGCCTCGGCACTTTTTGCTCCGGCACCCCGCCAGATCAGCGAGCTCAGCAGCCTTGATACCTGCCACCACCTTCATGGGCAAGATGCCCCTGGGCCT